GCATGGGACGGAGTAGAGGAGAGGTGATGGTGGATGCCGTCGGCGCTCACAAAGATAGCTGGGTTGACGCTCTCCCAGCCGGCCACCTTCATCCATAGGTGCATGTCCGCTCAAAGCCCGCTGGACTTCCTAAGCCAAGTAGCCGAAGAAGGGTAGCCGAAGAAGGGTGGGCACGGGCGAACTCACGCGCTGTCAACCCATCCCCCTGGAGCAGATCCTCATCCGTCGCTTGCCACCATGCCTTGCAGCATCGCTTGAGAGTGGAAGACAACAAAACTAAGGGGCCCCGAGCAGCATGCAAGGCCCAAGCCACATCGAGAGACCCACCGCGAATGCCGAGGGGCTGCGAACCTGCCCGCCTCAGATGCCGCATGTCCATCCAGCGAATGCCCCGGGGACCTCTCCGCCATGGGTGGCCGACGGATGCACACCAGATAGAGGAAACAGAACTATGCACATGCACCGATCCTGGCCAGGCCCATCCTGAGCCCAGGATCGGTGCATACGCCCTCATGCCTTGGCCAGGAAGGCATATGCACCGATCCTGGGGCCAAGGATGGGCCTTGCCAGGATCGGTGCATGTGCACAGTTAGTTCTCTTCGCCCGACCAGAGAAGAAGATCCGAGCCTCGAGGTGCCCTGGGCCTCTCATGGACCAAAGCTTTTCCATTCGAGGTTTCACCACAGCAAAACGTCGACGGCGGACACGTCCAACCCCCGCATGGCGGAGGTGCTTTCCGAGAGCGAAATCAGCGCCCAAGTTGTTCAGGGCGGGATCGGGTTGGCCCGCTAACTCGCCGAGCGCTCGAGCACCTGCCTCCATAACCACCTGCGAACTGCCCGCCATAGACAGCTCGTTCATCGCAAGGGGCACCCCAAGGACATCGTCGACGAATCTAGCTAGATCTGCCCGCCCCTTCATAGCACTAACACATGCATAGAAACTACGGGCTGCCACATTCAAAAGGAAATCGTCGATGTGCACGTTCAGGGTGGCCATTCCTACGTCCGGCAAGTGCTCCGCAATAGTCTCGGCGAACCGCGGGCTGACGGCGGGGATGGTGTACGCTGCAGCTTCGTGCGCGGCCCAACCTGCCCCTGCAATTATTCCCCTCCACGGGGCAATCACATTCGACACCAGCCCGCCCAAGGCCAAACGTCGCGGCCACCTGTAAAAGTTCAAGCAACAGTGGAGGGACTCAAGGGGACGCTGGACCTCAGAAGCAGCCTTTCACAAACGACGGTCCCAGGACCCGCGGGGCGACCCCGATCTTGAACGCCTTTTGACGCCTCTTTAACAAGTGGTCTCGAGCAGGTGCTGCTGGCGGCATGAAGGCCCAGCACGGGTGGGTTGAGAGAGCAGCCCAAGACTAAGAGCACAACGAAGAGGGAACTGTGCTCGTACAATTGCCGCAAATCTCACAATGACAATAGAATACGATATCCTTCCAAAGCTAATGCTTCCCCTCGCACGGTCTGCCGCCAAACCGCGTCCAAGGGCCCTCGACCAGGCCCTACAGAAGGTCGTTCACAGCAGCGCTCAACGCGGCAAATCCGCCAAACAGCTGCTGCTGATGACCCTCGCTCTCCTCAGAAATCCTAGAACAGGTACTGCCAGCTCCAGACTCTGAGCCGGCACTCGAAGCCTGGCTTCACCGATCAGCCCATTTCTTGCCATACCAGCCGCCGTTCTTGTCCATCACTTCCCGCTCCCACAACCTTGCCGTCCAAGCTACTGTCTTCCCATGCGGCCTCAAAGTCCTAGTAAAGAAACCGATCGGCCTTCGTCCACGCTCGGGCTTCCTGAATAGTTGCATGATGATGCACTGTAAATTTGTCGGTGCAGTGGCTACCATGCTCATGCAGGTAAATGCGCCGTTAAGTTCGTGTCGCGACTCATCGCATAGCATACTGAAGTGCTTGGGATGCATGCCATCTACTGCAACCGTGCGCACTTTGAACTTACTCCATATTCCAAGCAAGAGCGCAGCATCAACTCTTGGAGGCACCACCCCCGGAGCTTCCATAATTTGACTCGTGATGGACTCAGCCTGCCACGCTGCTTCCCACAACGTCTGCTGCTGCTCGAGGATCCCGTCGAATGACGCTGTGACAGAACCGTCCTTCCTCAGAGATGTCTCCTCCTCATTTGCAGGCTTCACCTTAGTGAAGGCGCGGGCTGCGCTGCCCGCCTCTGAGAGGGCTTGTTCGCACCAGTTGTTCCAATCCTCGGTCCTCTGGCGACGGGCGCGGCCCATCTGAGCCTTCTCAACAGCCTCGACACATTGGATCCAACAGTCAAGATCATCCCGCAGGTTCACATCGTAGATGCAACCATGCTTTCATATTCGCCCCACCAGAAAATCCAATACAAACTGCCAGGCAGGCCCCTGAGGTCCCAAGTGTCTGCGAAGAGGTCCACCTGTCCTGCTGATCAAGACGGTCTTCCTCAAAAGCCTGCGGCACTGCGCGGGGCATGGCGTCCCCGCGGCTCTCTCCCCGATGCGATGCCGGGGCTCCTGAAGGCGGCTCCTCCTCCAGTGGATCGCCGCGCCCGGCACTTGGAGACGAGATTGCTTGGTAGCCAAACGTCCCCGGAAAGGCTTCAGGACTACACCACGCGAAATGGTTAAGAAACCATGGGTTAAGAAATTCATGGTCTCAGAACGTGAATAAAACCCAGAACTTCTATCAAAATCTTGGGATTTACATTGAAAAAGTTAAGAATAATCGAGACTCTGGCCGAAAACTCAGGTTTTCTTAAGCATCGCCTAAGGTGTACCCTGAGGGGCGTGCCCCTCTCCGCTCATGTGGGGAGGGAGGAGTTTGGGCAGCCTCAGCTAGCTCATCCCAGGCCTTGCACCCACGTGGCATATATCTTATCCAAGAGATGCTGTCCTTCCTGCCTCTCAGGTCATAGCAAGGTATGCACGCGTCTTTCGAGAGCGTGTTAGTGCAAAAAGTCGTTCGACTCTTGGCTACGGGGCCCCATACCACGGGAAACTGAAGACGCGCGTGTCTCGTGATAACCTGCATCTGGACATCCTGGACTGCCTTCTTCAAAACACGGTGCGTTGGCCGATGGGGTCCTGGAACTACAGGGTTTGAATCATCCACGAGAGCATCGGACGCAGGTGGATCCAACGGCTGGCTCAAGACGAAGAAATCGATGGCATTCTGCCCTGCACCCCATCGTACACGTGCGATGGCGTCACGGGGTCAAAGCGGAAAGCCCCATGCAGGATGTCGAATTGCAGTGCGCTCCTCAACTCAACTGGTGTGACATTTCAATCGCCCCCGGCATGATGATGTATCCCTGATTCCAAGATATGTTCTCCCAGCTGCTGAAGGATATCGAGGCTGACTCCTGCCATCTTCACGCTGACATGAAGATACACTGAATACACACTGACCACACCCACTTCAGAGAGGCTGAGGTAACAGTGTGCAAGATCACGCGCTCGAAGAGACGCCCCTGTACGGGAACAGCTCCACGCATCTAGGTTATTCTTAATGAGGACGCATGTTCCTCCACAGGCATTCGACTGATCCGAACAAATATGCTCACGACCACAAGCTCCTATCATATATGGAAGAGCTTACTCTTGAGTCTTCAGGTGGCCTGCTGGCGAACTGTCTGCTTATGCTCCTGAATCAGGACAACCTCGGCCGACGTTCCAGCGAGAAGCTTTTTCAGCAATGGCCCAACAATTACCATTGCATGTCGCAGTTATCAGGTTCAGGCTCCCTGGTGTCCTGGCTCTCGTCGTTCGTCTTACCGTGTTACCCCTCAAGCAGTCGGTCCGTCTGGGACCTGGGACGCGAGTCACCGTACTCCCAAGAGAATCCCTCCTGGGTGGTGGCACTGGCCTCCCCCCTCACGAACTGCTGCTGCAGATCTGCTGGTCCAACCTTCACGAACCCACTGCAAGAGCTCCTCTTCATCCACCTCCATTATATCTTTACCATCAGGTCCTGTTCCTCGCGCTCCCCCATCGTTGAACCCTGGCCTCCATCCCCGACTCCGCCTCCCCGCCCGCCCATCTGGACTGGGACCTGGGCTGCTTCGGGTGCTGGTGGGGCTGGCGGTGAGGGAGGCTGGAGGAGTTGCTCAACCTGGGTGGACTGAGCTTGGATCCAGATACGTGCATGCTCGTCCTGGAGCTGAGGGACCAGAGGGGGCGAGTAAGTGCAAGAGGCCGCGCATGGCGTTGAGGGTGTCCTCTGGCACCGCGCCCCCGCTGTTGACCGCCAGGGCCACCGCCTTCCTGACCTCCTCCAAACCGCCCTTCGCAATGTGGATGGCAGCATCCAGCTCGTCCACCTACTCCTTTCACTCTTCGATGCTACGAAGGACCCCCTGCCTCTGCTGTTGCATGTGTTCAAGCTTCTGTTCAAGACGTGCGACATCCTGCTCCTGTTTTTGCAACTTCTTACTGGGGGATACCTTGTCATACTTTGTCGTTTTGTGGGTGTCCCAACCCCGTGTAATGGCCTCCGCAGCTTCGGGGGAGAACAGGTTCGACTTGCTCTGGCACACCTGGTATAACTTGTGCATATTGTTGTGAGCCTCTCCTGAACGAGAAACATCATTGAGCTGCTCCTTATGTCGGCGTCGGGGGAAAAGTCGCGACCACCTCCTTACCCTCCACGCCCACCTCGCCCGCCATATCCACCGCCTCCACCTCCGTCAGCCCTTTCCTCACCACCCCACACTCCGCGAGGATCATTGGGAGGCGTGTGGTCGAGCTTGGGGAGGGGGGCTCTGCAATGGTAGCACCACCTATAGTGAACAAGGTTCCGCTTGCACCCACAACTCGTGCAAGCCTCCTCCTCCTCCTCCTCCTCCTGCTCCTCCTCCTCCTCCTCCTCCTCCTCCTCCTCCTCCTCCTCCTCCCCTCCTCCTCCTCCTCCCCTCCTCCTCTTCCTTCCCTCCTGCTTTTCCTCCCGCCTGCCTCCTCCTCCGCTGGGCTGGCAGAGGCGGGTTTTCTTGGCGGCGGCAGGTCCTTCACCTCGAGCTCCTTGCGTCTCCGCCGCATGCGCCTGTCGGCAGATAGATCCGGGGGGGGGGAGGGGGGCGAGAGTAGACGAGACGAGCACGGGAGCCGGGCGCCCTCCACCAGGGAGCCCGCCCGTACCCACCACGGCACAGCGTGGAGGCCACAGTCTTGACGACAAAGACAGGGCGCGAAGATAGATCGGCGGAGAAAAAGGGGTGGACAGGGCGGAGGGCGGAGGGGGGTGCCGAAGAGAGCGGGCAGGGGGAAGGGGGAAGGGAGATTGCGCGGGGACAATGGAGGCGACGGGGAAACCCGTGGGCGCGACAAAAATTAGTTAGGGGAGGAGGATTTACAAAAAGGGAGGGGAGGGGGGCGGGGAGACGTCACGAAACAGTTCCTGGGAGATCTTCGTGGGGACAGCGAGAGGGGGGGCCAACGCGAGAGCAAGAGCGACGGACGAGGAGGCGAGGGAGGCGCCTCTTGGGCCGTGCACGGGGGCCCTCTTCGGCCGTCTGCGGGGCCCTCCTGAGCCGTCCGGGGGCCGCTCGTCGGGCGGGTGCGAGCTCGACGCTGCAGTCGAAGATGCCTCCGCTGGTCTGGGAACTGCTCATTGAAGGGGCCCCAGGAAACACAAATAAAAATATATCCACCATACTTTCTTATATTTTCCAGGTTTTTGTCTTCACCACCACTTCCCATATTTTCCCATATTTTCCCGGGACTCGACGATGAATTGTGTCTGTGTGTTTTTTGTCCTCTTGGTTCCTATGTTTTGGGACATGGAAATCCGCGCTGCCAGGCCTGTGGAGCTGCCAGCCGACGCTACAGCCAGGCATTGGCACTGCGAGCAAGAGAAGCGGCAGCATGCTACGGCACATCCACACACCTGCGCTCTGCAGACACCCGAGGCGAACCGAGGGCGGGGCCGCCTCCCGGAGCGCCCTACTGCGCGCTCCAGAAGGCGCAGGGCCGGACAGCAAAGAATGAAACAAAAAGACTGGGTGACGGAAAACATCTCGGGTCGAGCGAAAGGGGGGGATAGCAAAGGGGGGGTTTGAGAATCAGCTCACGCAGCTGATTTGCCCGGCGCCTCCCGGCGCCAGAGGCGGCTATGTATCGAGGAATGGGCCCCTCGGTGAGGCCGAAATCAGCTGCATGCAGCAAATTTCGTACCCCCCCCTTTCCCAATCCCCCCCTTTCGCCCGTCCCGAACATCGCACTCCCGAAACGGGGGCGAGCCCGCCGTCCGGCGAGAGCTCTGAGGCCCAGTCTCCGACTGTCGGCGCGCGCAGCAGACGCGGTGGCGAATCGCTGGAGGGGTGCGGCACCGATCGGGACGTGTTTTCTCGCGCGTCCCTGACCACTGAAGGAGCTCCGCCTCGTTTCGCTGCACACGGCACGCACAGACGCTGCCCGGCGCTCGGGCACTAGGGTGCGCCAGGCTTCGCTGGCGCTTCGGCGTCGACCATTTCCGCCGCCTCCGCGTCCGTCGCCTGTGCGACGCTGTGAGGCATCCGCCGCCGGCGCCCGCTCCCGCCGCCTTTACGTTCTGATGCTCGACCGCGCGGTGCCGGAAAAGCAGCAAGCGTGCGCCATCCCCGAAAGGCTCCCAAGAGGCACCTAAGAGGCCCCCAAGAGCCCCCAAAGAGGCCTCCAAGACCCCCCAAGAGGTCCAAAAGACGCGCCCAAACGGCCCCCCAAGCCCTTGCAAAATGAACGAAATAAATCATTATTTCGTTGGTTCCCGGGGGGGGGGGGATGATACCAAGGCGCCCAAGAGCGAAGGATGACGTAAACAACTCGACACCAAGGCTCCCAAGAGCGAGCGGCAATGCAACAATAACCACTGTTGCCCATTGCTGGCCCCCCTCCCCCCCAACCTCCTTATCACCCGCAGGGTAGTCGTATAGGTGCACAAGACTGTATTGACGCTTCGCGCCATGCGCCTTGGTCCTTGGAGCTTGGCATGCAGGTGGAATGGCAGGAAGGTCAAACAGACAATTTAGCGATAACTCCTTGTTGCGTTTTCTGGCATCGCCGAAATGATCATGTGATTCGTGATCCTTGTTTTTTTGTTCCTCATTCTCGCCCTACTCTGCTAATTCTTCCCCATCATCCTCAGATATCCTCAGCTCTTTTTGCGGAGGCTCCTCCTTGGAGAGCCTCTGAGGGCCCCACACAAGATTTTCAGGCTTTCTGAAGGCCTTCTGGAAGCCTCCTGGGCGTCTTCTGGAGGCCTCTGGGGGGTTCCTCGGACAACACTACCTCCGCGGGCCATTCTTGGGCCGTCATAGGGCTCTCTTAGGCCATCGTGGAACCGTGTTGTGCCGTCTTGCGGATCTCTTGGACAGTTTGGAAGCCCTTCGGGATGGTTTGGGGGCGATTTTCGAGCCTCCCAGGCGGTCTCGGACTCCGGGAAGACCGAAGAACAGGGCATTCCCCAGATCATGCAAAGAACTGTGGAAAATCAATGTTTTCTGCGTCTTGGAAGCCTCTTGGGGGGGTCTTCTTTGGGTCGTCTTCGGGCGTCTGGTGGGTGTCTGGGGCCTCTTGGGGCCCTCGGGGGGGCGTTCGGCCGCCCTCCTGACCGATTTAGGTCCGTTGTCTAGGCCCAGCACGGGCTTCCAGGAGCTCGGGAACGCTTGGGGGGACTCCTGCAGGGGCGTCCAGGGGGTTCCTGGGGCCACGGATCCAGGAAGTCCCGAAGGTCCCGGGGGCCCGGGATTAAGGGGATCCGATTTCGGGGGGGGCGTCCCGGGCAATGAAAATGTTGAAATGGGAATATGTATACATAACTCATGCACTCATACATACATACATACATACATACATACATACATACATACATACATACATACATACATACATACATACATACATACATACATACATACATACATGCATGCATGCATGCATGCATGCATACATACATACATATATACATACATGCATACATATACATGCATGCATGCATGCATGCATACATACATACATGCATACATGCATACATGCATACATGCATACATGCATACATGCATACATGCATACATGCATACATGCATACATGCATACATGCACCTATCTACCTACCTACCTACCTACCTACCTACCTACCTACCGACCGACCGACCGACCTACCTACCTACCTACCTACCTACCTACCTAGCTACATACATACATACGTACGTACGAACGTACGTAGCACCCCGCAATTGCGGATAAGAGTGAGGGGGCGGGCGCGGGCGTCGCGGACGTCGTCGAGCCAGCGGACCTCGTGGCCCCCACCTTCCCTGTCGATGGCGATCTTCTCCTCCTCCTCCTCCTCCTCCTCCTCCTCCTCCTCTTCCTCGTCCTCGTCCTCGTCCTCATCGTCATCGTCCTCCTCCTCCTCCCTCCTCCTGTTCTTCCTCGTCCTCCCTCTCCCCCCCTCGTCCTTTCATCATCGTCCTTCCATCGTCGTCCTCCCCCTCATCGGCCTCCATCATCGTCCTCCCATTGTCGTCCATCATCATCATCATCCCCCTCCTCCCCCTCCTCGTCCTCTTCCTTCCCCTCCTCCCCCTCCTCCCCCTCCTCGTCCTCCTGCTCCTCGTCCTTTTCTCTCTCCACATTATCCTTACATCCTCTCTTCTGCCGCGTTCTCCTCGTCCCCTGTTTACTCCTCCTGCCTCCCCCTCCTTTCCCAAGATAACTGCAACGCAGTCCTTTTTTCCACTTTATGCTTCCCGCCTTCTCTGATCAAGGCAACTCGCCAGGGCAAAGTTACTGGACGGGCTGGTGTGGATGCGCGGGGCTTGAAGAGGTCCTTGCGGGCTCAGACGGCATGCGAAAATCCGCCGCCGCGCTTGTGCGGCATTGGTTTGTTCAGTGAACGTGGTTTAGGTCGCGGGTGGGTCGCGGGCTCTCCACCTCCACCTGGAAGGAATGCAAAAGCAACGCGCCGCAGGCGCCAACAAACATTGGTTTGTACACTGAACGTGGTTTGGGTCGCGGGTGGGAAGCGGGTTCTCCACCGGGAACGAATGCAAAAGATGCCCGCCGCAGGCGCCGAAAAATGTAGCTTGTACCCTGAACGTGGTCGCGGATGGGCCGCGGGCTCTCCACCTGAAACGAATGCAAAAGATGCCCGCCGCAGGCGCCGAAAATGGTGGTTTGTACCCTGAACGTGGTTTGGATCGCGGGTTGGTCGCGAGTTGGTCACGGGGTGGGTCGCGGGCTCTCCACTTGGAAGGAATGCAAAACAAGCCCGCCGCAGGCGCCGAAAATGGTGGTTTGTACCTTCAACGTGGTTTGGGTCGGAGGTGGGTCGCGGGTGGGTCGCGGGGTGGGTCGCGGGTGGGTCGCGGGTGGGTCGCGGGTGGGTCGCGGGTGGGTCGCGGGGTGGGTCGCGGGGGGGTCGCGGGGTGGGTCGCGGGTGGGTCGCGGGGTGGGTCGCGGGGTGGGTCGCGGGGTGGGTCGCGGGGTGGGTCGCGGGTGGGTCGCGGGTGGGTCGCGGGTGGGTCGCGGGTGGGTCGCGGGTGGGTCGCGGGTGGGTGGGTCGCGGGGGTCGCGGGGCGGGTTGCGGGTGGGACGACGACAACAAACAACAACAACAAACAACAACAAACAACAACAACAACAACAACAACAACAACAACAACAACAACAACAACAACGAGAATCCGCACCGCGGAATTCCACTTCAGCCACGCACCCAGGGACAGTGAATGACCGTTCGGCCCCCTCACTCTGACGTACATGCATATATATATGACATACATACATACATACATACATACATACATAGATACATACATACATACATACATACATACGTACGTACGTACGTACGTACGTACGTACGTACGTACATACATACATACATACATACATACATACATACATGCATGCATACAAAATTACATTCATACATACATACACACATACACACAATACATACACACATACATACATGCATACGGGCAGACAGACATGCATGCATACACACACGCACACATATATACGTACATGCATACATACATACGTACACATGTACGTACGTGCATACATACATACACACATACAACTGCACACATACATGCATGCATACATGCATAAAGGTACGACGTTCCATTGCATTACAATACATTAGATTGCATTGGATTACATTACATTACAGTACAGTACATTGCATTACAGTGCATTACAATACATCTAGCTTGCAATACACTAAAAATACATTCACCATGCAGATATACATACATGCCTGCATACAGTATACAAATGTGTCTACACAAACATACATAATCACATGCATACATTCATACATATACACATGCATGCAAAAACATACATCCATGCAAACATACATGGCTACAGACATACGTACACACATACATACATGCATGCATGCATGCATGTATGCATGCATACATACTAGAACCACGCGCGCGCTTCGCGCGCGCTTAGGTTCTAGCTAGGAGGCGAGCTTGAGTCAACGAAAGTCGCAGGGAAGGGGGCAGGGGGAAAAAGGCCAGAGAGCGCTGAAGGATACAAATATTGGAACCCTCTTGTGATTTTGTGGGGGGCCTCGTCTGGCCGCTCGCTGGGAGTTTGACGTAGCTTCTCGGGAGCCTCTGAACCTGTCGGGGGCCTCCTGAACCACGCGCGCGCGTCGCGCGCGCTTAGGTTCTAGCTAGGAGGCGAGCTTGAGTCAACGAAAGTCGCAGGGAAGGGGGCAGGGGGAAGAAGGCCAGAGAGCGCTGAAGGATACAAATACTGGAACCCTCTTGTGATTTTGTGGGGGGCCTCGTCCGGCCGCTCGCTGGGAGTTTGACGTAGCTTCTCGGGAGCCTCAGAACCTGTCGGGGGCCTCCTGGAAGCAGGTTCGAAGCATTTTGGGGGCCGATTTGGGGCTTCTCGGGGCCTCCTTTGGGCCTCTTGGGGGTCTCCTGGGGCCTCTTGAGGGGCCTCCTGGGGGCCTCCTGGCGGCCTCTTGGGGCGGAAGGCTCGAGCTTGCGGTTCGTGGTCCCCCTCTGGCCCCCCTCTTGGGCCCGTCTTGGGGCCCTCTTGGGCCATCTTGGGCGCCTCTTGGGCCGTCTTGGGGCCCACTTGGGCTGTCCTGGGGCCCTCTTGGAAGCTTCTTGGGCCGTCTTGGGGCGGTCTTGGGCGCCTCTTGGGCCGTCCTGTAACGTCGGAAAGCCCAAAAGACAACTTTGTTGAACATGTACGTTTTACGAAGGGAATGGGCCAAATATTGCGTCTAGGGGCCCTCGTTGAGCGCATGTTGGAGGCTTCCTTGACAGAGGGGGAAGTTGAGCGTCTTGATGGTGCGTCCTTTGACGTCTGGGGTCTCCTGGGGCCTCTCGAGGGGCCTCCTGGGGGCCCCCTGGCGGCCTCTTGGGGCGGAAGGCTCGAGCTTGCGGTTCGTGGTCCCCCTCTGGGCCCCCTCTTGGGCCCGTCTTGGGGCCCTCTTGGGCCATCTTGGGCGCCCCTTGGGCCGTCTTGGGGCCCTCTTGGGCTGTCCTGGGGCCCTCTTGGAAGCTTCTTGGGCCGTCCTTGGGGCGGTCTTGGGCGCCTCTTGGGCCGTCTTGGGACGCATGTTGGAGGCTTCTTGGGGCGTCTTGGGGGCGTCCTTGGACGTCTGGGGTCTCCCGGGGCCTCTTGAGGGGCCTCCTGGGGGCCTCCTGGCGGCCTCTTGGGGCGGAAGGCTCGAGCTTGCGGTTCGTGGTCCCCCTCTGGGCCCCCTCTTGGGCCAGTCTTGGGGCCCTCTTGGGCCATCTTGGGCGCCTCTTGGGCCGTCTTGGGGCCCTCTTGGGCTGTCCTGGGGCCCTCTGGGAAGCTTCTTGGGCCGTCTTGGGGCGGTCTTGGGCGCCTCTTGGGCCGTCCTGCAACGTCGGAAAGCCCAAAAGACAACTTTGTTGAAAATGCACGTTTTACGAAAGGAATGGGCCAATTTTTGCGTCTAGGAGCCCTCTTGGGACGCATGTTGGAGGCTTCTTGGGGCCTCTTGGGGGCGTCCTTGGAAGCCCCGACGAGCCTCCGGGCCCCCCGGGGTGCACATTTGCGGTCGGGGTCCCGGCCCCGGGCCCCCGGACCCGGTGCGCCGTTATATGTATACGCAACTGTATATGTCTCTCTCGCTCTCATTCTCTCTCTCTCTCTCTCTCCCGCTCTTCCCCCTCGCTCTCGCTGGGGGAGCGGGGGCCGCGGTTCGGCGTCGCCTCAGGAGGTCCTTCTTCAGGCGCTGGTACAAAGCCTGTCGGCCGCTGTTGCCCCGCGTCGCTCTGTCGCTGGCCGTCCCTCCCTCCCCACTACCCCTCCCTCCTCCTCCTCCTCCTCCTCCTCCTCCTCCTCCTCCTCCTCCTCCTCCTCCTCCTCCTCCTCCTCCTCCTCCTCCTCCTTCCCCTCCTCCTCCTCCTCCTCCTCCTCCTTCTCCTCCTTCTCCTCCTCCTCCCCCTCCTCCTCCTCCCTCACACAGCCCTGCTGGAATGCCGCCAGGGCTCCCCGAGAGCGCGGGGCCAGCGTCTCTCAGGTCCCACCCAAGAGGGCGCCCTGCCAGCTCGGACGGCCGGGCCTCTCAAACCCACCCTGCACCCGTTGACGCCCAAGATCGGCCCCTCCTCCCTCCTCGTCTGCCTCCTTCCCCTCCTCCTCCTCCTCCTCCTCCTCCCCCTCCTCCTCCTCCTCCTCCTCCTCCTCCTCCTCTCTTCGTCCTCCTCCTCCACCTCCTCCTCCCTTTCTTCTCCTCAACGGCCTTCTGACTGGCTTCCAAGGACGCGCACCGCCGTGGCCACGGACCCCCCCCCGCCCCCTGGAGGCCCGCGCCAAAAGGCGGAGACGTCAAAGTCACCCGCCCTCCCCGGGCACCAGATCTGGAGGACCAGCAGAAGGGAGAACAGAAGGAGGAGGAACATAAGGAGGAGGAGCATAAGGAGGAGGAGGAGGAGGAGGAGGAGGAGGAGGAGGAGGAAAGGAGATGGAGGAGAGGGTGAGACAAGGAGAACGAGACCCTCTTGATCATCGTCTTCCTCCTCCTCGTAGTCGTGTTTCCCCCCTCTTTGCCGTCTCCTCCTCCTCCTCCTCCTCCTCCTCCTCCTCCTCCTCCTCCTCCTCCCTCCCTCCTCCTCCTCCTCATCAACATCATCATCATCATCATCATCATCATCATCATCATCATCATCATCATCATCATCATCATCATCATCATCATCATCCTGCTCTTCCCCCTCAGCAACATGGTCATCAATCGTCACCATGGTCATGATACTAATAGTGGTGATGACGATGATGGTCAATCACCATCACCATCATCATCATCATCATCATCATCATCATCATCATCATCATCATCATCATCATCATCATCATCATGAGCATCATCATCATCACCATCATCATCATCATCATCAGCATCATCATCACCACCATCATCATCATCATCATAATCATCAACATCATCATCTTCATCTTCATCAGTATCATCATCATTATCATCATCAACATCATCAGCATCCTCATCCCCATACTCATCATGAGCATCATCAGCAGTATCATCATCAGCATCATCATGAGCATCATCATCATCAGCATCATCAGCATCAGCATCATCATCATCGTCAGCATCATCATCATCATCATCAGCAATATTATTAGCATCATCATCATCATCATCATCATCAGCATCATCATCAGTATCATCATTATCGTCATCGTCATTGTCATCATCAGCCATCAGCAGCATAATCCTCTTCATGAGCATCATCATCATAATCATCATCATAAGCAGCATCATATCATCATCAGCATCATCAGCAGCATCATCATCATCGTCACCATCACCATCATCATCATCGCCATCATCATCATTGTCATTATTATCATCACCATCATCATCATCATCATGAGCATCATCAGCAGTATCATCATCAGCATGCTTATTGCCAGCAGCATCTATCAGCTGTCAAACGTATTCCTCCTCCCTCCCGAATTCCCCTTTGTCTTCATCCTCGTATTCCGTCCCCTTCCTCCCCATCCTCTTCATCCTGCCGCCCCCTCCTCTTAATCCTGCCGGCCGTCTCTGTCTCCTCATCCTCACCTTTCTATTTCAATTCCTCCTCTTTCTCGTCCTCCTCCTCCTCCTCATCATCATTATCATCGTCGTCATCGTCATCACCGTCATCATGATCATGATCATCATCATCATCATCATCATCATCATCATCATCATCATCAGCATCAGCATCATCATCACAATCATCATCATCACCATCATCATCACTCTCCGCCTTCTTCCCTTCCGCTCCTCCTCGTCCTTCTAGCCGTGTTCGTCACCCCTTCTCCTCGTCCTCCTCCACCTCCACCACCTCATCATCATATTCATCCTCCTCCTCCTCTTAATCCTCATTCTCGTCCGCATTGTCATCTTCATCGTCATCCTCCTTCTCTTCCTCGTTCTCATCACCACCATCCTCATAAAAATCACCACCACCATCACCACCATCTCCATCATCATCATCATCATCATCATCATCATCATCATCATCATTATCATCATCACCATCATCATCATCACCAACATCAACATCAACATCAACATCAGCATCATCATCATCATCATCATCATCAGCATCATCATCATCGTCGTCATCAGCATCAGCAGCATCATCATCAGCATCATCATCAGTAGCATCATCATGATCATCATCTTCAGTCTCATGATCGTCGTCGTCATTCCCATCATCAGTATCAGCATCATCAGCACCATCGACAGCATAATCATCAGCATCATCAGTGTCATCATCTGCATCATCATTAGCATCTCCATCTTCGTCTTCACCATCATCATCATCATCAGCAGCAGAAGCAGCATCAGCATCATAACCAGCATCACCAGCAGCAGCATCATCACCCTCATCATCATCAGCAGCATCATCATCGTCATAGTCGTCGTCGTCAACCTTCTCCTCCTCATCATCATCAGAAGCACCAGTATCATCATTAGCGTCAGCATCAGCATCAGCATCATCATCGTCATCACCATTAGCAGCAGCAGCATCCTCCTCCTCCATCTTGTCTTCCTCTTCCTCCTCCCCGTCCTCCTCACCCTCCTCCTGTTCCACCGCCCCCTCCTCCGCCACCCCCGCGCGCCCCCCCGCGAAGGATGCGTCCTGCTCTATCGTCGAGCTCTGCGCCAAGAAGACGGCCTGCAGCTGTCGCTGCAGCACCCCGTCCAGCGCGGCGCGCTCCTGCGGCCCGCGCCGGACACCTACGAGCCAGCTGCTGTCCGCCACCGCGCCTGCAGCGGTCAGTGTGTCAGGCCCTTTCTAGAAAGAAGAAGGCATACAGTCGGGGCGTTGACCTAAGGAACCCTAAATAAGGGACGAGGCCCCTTTTTCCCATATTTCCCATAAGTTAAACTTCGATTTCCCATCGGAACCCTAAGCAAAACCAAAGGCGAACTGCAAAACAACTAAGGAACACCGAGCCCCTCCCCAACGAAAAGGGTTCCTTCCTCAGCGCCCCGACTGTAAACATAAACCATCAGAGCTCCGCGCGGAGTCGTTGGATCGGCGCTGGGCCCCCCTCCCTGGCGCGCGGAGCGCGCCAGGAGCGGCGCCAGAGGTACCGCCAGGGGGGCCGGGCGCCGATCTCAGAAATCCGCGCTGACCTCCAGGAAATGTTGTCTATGTTGTCTCTGTTCTTTTCCATGTTCGCGATTCCTCTTCTTGCGAAGCGAGATCTGAGGCTCCCGAAGCATCGAACCCAACATCCTCTCGTCTGTTCCACCAAGTCCCTGCGTTTCGCCTTCCACGCAACAAAAACGGCCCCAGCGACGAAGGTCCGGGTTAGGCGGCGAGCAAGGGGCGGAAGCGAGAAGGAGAAGGCCTTCTCAGAAGGCGGCGGGACTTCTCAGAAGCCCTCGCGCCTTCTCAGAAGTTTCTTCTGTCTTCGGGGAAGGCTTCGAAAACTTCTCAGAAGGCCGGGGGACTTCCGAGACTTCTGAGAAGTCGGCGGTGGACAAACCTCCCTTTAGTAAACCTCCCCTTAATGAAAACGGCCCGACCCTTCTCGATTCGCCTCCTCGCTCGCCGCCGACGGGTAGCCGGGTCCAGCGCCCCCCCGCTGCCAACACCCTGGCTCCCCAGGCGCCCCTACGGCCACCGCCCGAGCGCGATAACGACGTCGCGCGGCAGCACAGCTGGACGAACAACAACACCAGAGCATTTTCTTAGGGTGGAAAGCTCAGGGTGAAATCCATATGGGCTTTTGCACCTCGAAAACCCATCCGTCTTGTGATTCACCTTTTGCAGATTCAAGCCTCGAACATCCATCGAAACGGCATTTCAGATTTCACCCTTTGCCCAAGGGCGCCCTCGAGGGCGCGAACTTATTCGCGCTTCGCGCTGCGCGGTTCGGCTCCGATTCCTCCTCATCCTCCTCCTCCTCCTCTGGGAGGCGCCGCGAGAGCGCGAGGCGGCGCCAAGAGCGCGAGAAGAAAATGCTCGGACACACAATCACCTGTCGAGCCGGTTCGCGCAGCACCTCGACCGCGGTCGCTATACCCAGAGATCTGGGCGTTGCAACTTTCTCACGCCGGCGGGCGGTATCGCCAGGCTTCGGGACCCAAGAATCATCGCAGATCGATTCGGCTGGAAAATACAGCAGAAAGATTGGGTCCGGGGCTCTGGTCGCGATTTTTCGCGATTTTGTTCCCTACCTAGGCTCTGCCTAGAAGTGCTCTTACTCGGTGTGCTTAAAGGGCCGGGCAGTGTAACCCGCCCCGGGCGGTTCCCCCAGTATCCGCCCCGCGGTTCCCCCAGTTACGTCCCCTTAGCTTAGCGGTGCTTATCTCATCTTGGCTTAGCTTAGCTTAGCTTAGCTCAGCTTAGCTTCATCTAGCTTCGCTTAGCTGTAGCTTAGCTTGACTTAGCTTTGCTTAGCTTAGCTTAGCGTAGCTTTAGCTTAGCTTTAGCTTAGCTTTAACTTAGTTTCAGCTTAGCTTTAGCTTAGCTTTAGCTTAGTTTTAGCTTAGAATCATCTTAGCTAATTTTCTGGGTTTTTGTCTTTCCCTCCATTTCCCATATCTTCCCATATTTTCTGGGGGATCGAGGATGAATTGTGTCTGTGTGTGTTTCTTTCCCTCCTGAAAGGAGCAGTCGGACAGGGGGGGGCAAAGAAGCCCACGGTGTAGCTCGCGCCCGTTTGGCTTCCCGGGCCCTCGGGCGCGGGCCCGGGCTCGCGCGAGGCTCCCCCTCCCAGACGGATGGGCCTGTCTGAAGGGGCCCTGGGACACACAAATAAATACACACAAATAAAAGGATTCCCCATATTTTCCTATATTTTCTGGGCTTCTGTCTTCCCCCACACTTCCCATATTTTCCCATATTTTCCTGGGAGTGGACGATTAATTGTGTCTGTGTGTTTTTTCCCCTCCTGACTGTCGCTGGTGAGAGGCGGCACGGAGGGCGCATCCCGACGGGGTGGGCGCAGGAGCCCGGGGCACCTCCCACGCTCGCCGGCTTCTTGAGCTTCCAGGGGAGGGAGGAGGAGGAGGAGGAGGAGGAGGAGGAGGAGGAGGAGGAGGAGGAGGAGGAGGAGTAGGGAGGCGGGAGGCGGGAGGAGGAGGAGGAGGAGGAGGAGGAGGAGGAGGGGGGGGGAGGAGGAGGAGGAGCGCGCCCCGAAATGCGCTGGCGACCCCTTCTTCAAACTTTGGAGGCTTAGAAATGGGCACCAACGCCAATGCCGAGGGTTGCCTCTACCAGGGGAGGGCGATCCTAGATGTTGGTGCTGGTGGTACTAGTTCGGCCACCTCGGAAGCCCGAGTGCTTCACCACCACCACCGAGATCGGGATCGTCTCTCCTCGGTGGAGGCACATCGCCGAGACTGGTGTTGGTGGTGTCAACCTCTGGGCCTCCGAAAACTGGTGAGCACCCGCACACAGACGGGCGACGCGGAAGGGGCGTGCCGGGGATGGGCCGCATCGAGCGCACCGCGGGAGATGCACGCGCTGGGATGCGCCAGGGCAGGGACCGTCAACTAAACCGCCTGGGATCTCACATCTACTCGGCGGCGAGCCCCGGGGGCAAGTGAGAGTGGTCGGGCCTTCTCAGAAGGCTCGGCAGTTCCCTGGCCTTCCGAGAAGTTGCCTGAGCCTCCGACAGAAGACACAGAGAGAACCTCTCGGAAGGCGCGAGTGCTCCTGAGCAGTCCCGCCGCCTTCTGAGAAGGCCCTCTCCCTCTCGTTCCCCCCCCTCGCTCGCCGGTGACTCGCGGCGCCCACCTGGCACTAATGCGCGCGTCCCCCGACTGCAGGGGCCATCAACAAAACGGCCTGGACCTCACATTCACACGGCGCCCACCCCGCACCAGCACGTGCGTCTCCCGACGCCCGGCGCGCTCGCGGGCCTCCGCCTCTGCAGGCCATCGTCGCGCCACTCCTTGAGTTGAGTCGGGCGTGTCCCCCTACAGGGGGATTTTGGGCGAAAAATGCCAGATTCTCGAAAAATCCCCCCCAGATGCTCAAAAATTGTCAAAAAAACAGTCCCCTGACTATTTTTTGACTATTTTTGAAAATTCCCCCTGTAGAGGGACGGGCCCGACTGAATCCTTGGGCCTATTGTGGTGCATCCCCCGGGGGGCCTGGTCCCAGTCGAGGCTCCCCAGGCTGCCCCGCCGCCCCCCCCTTGCCTGTGTATACAGTCGGGGCTGACTGGAGAGGACACGCGAAAGGACACGAGACCCTTCCGAGGGCCACAGTGCCGCAGGAGTGTGAAGGCATGGGTCGCGAGACACAGGACGCAAGGGTACCCTTAGATTTGGCAGGGTCGACCCACTCATCAACCTCGACCGTATACCATGCATACACGCACATAATGCAAAACTGCATTGAAGCTTCACGCCATGCGCGTTGGTCCCCTAGAGATTGGCAGAACAGCATCTGGAGGGGTCAGTGGGAGCACGCAGTCCAGCAGAACACAGCGCTAACAAAGAGGCCATGCGCAGCACCCGCAACGACGACCGCCACACGGCAGGGAACAGTGGAGACCAGCGGGCCACGAAATCTCGAGAACCAGCGTTCCGCAACGCCTGTTTTGACATTGACGTTGTGGAATTCGGGATCTCACTTGTGAAACGTCGACTCTGGCTGGCAGTGAAGAAATCGGGCTGGTGCAAGGAAAATCTGGGCCTGGTCAGGCATTCAGGGAAACTCTCTGGAGGCACTGCTGCGGCCTTCGAAGCAACAACGAGGCCTCGAACCGAGTGCCCCCCTTGGGGGGGCGTCCGAGCGCACTCTTCGGGCCGTCGGCTCTGCTGCTGCTGACCTCGCGCCCTCCTGCTCCCACCCCAGACATCCGACGCCGTGATTTTTTCGAGACGCGGGCCCCCGACCTCCCGACCACTTCCCTGGGTGCCCGCTCCATTTCTCGAGCTCCTGGGATGGCGGTCTCCGCCCCACGCTGCCGTCGCTGTTTGCGGCCATGCTTTTGCGGAAAAATACGCCCTGCTTTTCCGATGTCTGCCTGCTTGTTTCGCATCATCCGGAGTGTACGTCCAACAATCTGAAGCCAGAAAATCAACCATAGTACCGCAGATCAGGAGTCAGTGGGGTGGGGGGCATAGGGGGCGGGGGGGGCTGTCTCAGAGGGCGGGCTGTTGCTTCTTGGAAGGCGGAGGCCGACTTCGAAGAACCTGGGGGCTTCTACGAAGGTTTCTGGGAAGCCGAGGTGACCGCTCATAGTAGTGCGAGACTAAATGCCATGATACGTCCCAAGACTCGCAGAAGATCTGGCTGGCGGCGCAGCCGGGGCGAACATCGGAAACTATGGGAAATCCTGGAAGCCTTGGAAATCTTGGAATGTATCATTATCGTGACCATCCCCCCGGATCCCAAGGAGGAGGAGGAGGAGGAGGAGGAGGAGGAGGAGGAGGAGGAGGAGGAGGAGGAGAGAGAGAGGAGGAGCTCCTCTGAGATGAGGAGGAGGAGGAGGAGGAGGAGGAGGAGGAGGAGGAGCTCCTCCGAGATGAGCCCCCACACCCTCCGAGAAGCCCTCCTCGGGCTTGGCAGGGGGCCGCCCCCCTCGCGCCCCCCCCCCCTCCTGAGCGCCACCAAGGGGGGCGAGGCCTCGCTCGGCGGTCGGCCCAGCCCTTCGGAGACCCCCCGGGGCCTCCGCGGGACCTCGGGGCGCACGAAGGCCACCGAAGGCACCTCGAGTGAAATCGGGCCTGTCCCTCTACAGGGGGAAGATTCAAAAATAGCCCGAAAATAATTCTGGGGACC